AGTCCAAAAATCACCGAGAGGTCTATTTTGTCCAGGTGCTTTGCGCCACCTTAAATTAGCCCAATGGGCTTGTATCGTTTAGAGTCCAGTGAGGGACGCATCCTAGGGTTGGAGCACGACCCAAACTCTCTTGTGGTTGTCCTCCACACGTCATATACCCCTTAGCCGCCACCAGAACACTTGGGTTTTGTTTAGATCAAGTTTAGCCATCGCTACTTGCTTGTAGGCGCGCGTGCTTGATCCGATCGCCCGTCTCCTTGTCTTGAAACCCCACTCATAATAAGATTCAGTGTGAAACCTTCAATTTTATCTTACAATTTCAGTGCTTGTTTCCTCGTTCTTGCTAGTTCTTCGATTGCTTGCAGGACGGAAGCCCTAGGGGCTGGTTGTCGTGCTCCACAAGATCGTGACGGCCTTGGGAAGTGGTGTATCGGTCGCTAAGGCGCGGTCTTGGAAGGCTGTAGTCGGGCCGTGAACGTCATCTCCATCCACCAATCGAGTTATCTCACGCCTCTCATCGAAAGATCGACCACAAACCCTTGCGGGTTCATATCAGGGGCCTCGGTCGTTGCTGGCGACAGGTGACCAGGTTCTCGAATGTCTCTACCTGCGTGTGACGTGCAGCTTGCTGTGACCTCCCTCTGGTTTGCCTACCCTGGCCTGCGATTCCTGTGGACATATGCGTCCGCGCGCCACTCATGCATGCAGGCCTAATCTAGCCATCGCTGCCTTGTCTACATAAAGAAAACGGCTACTGCATCTGGCGGCCGCCCGCGTCGAGATGCGCGTGCATCAGCGGTCGGGGGCTGCTGCAAGCCTTTGTGATAGAAAGCTACGGACAGGCTAGCCGACGCGCAGGGTCCACGTTGCCTCGCATGCAGTGCAAGGGATGTTGTAGCTGTAGGCATCCATCTAGGACAAAGCAAGCCAATGACGGGACGTCGTGATCCAATGCCGGGCATTGCGGCACTGGAGCGTCGTGTTGTTTACTACTCGATCAGTTTTAGGTGCAGAGAAAACGTGTGCGCGTGCGGCGTTGTGCCGATGCAGTGTGCTATCTGTGGCTGTGTATATGTATGTAGACAACCTGATGTATCTATCTACTGGACGATATGATGTGTCTAGCCTTTGCCCGTTGTCACGCAGAAACCGCGCATAGATCGGTGCCCAACTGGCAAGTGTGCATGCGAGCGCACCAGGCCTGGAAAGCATGATCGTTTAGCCTATTACTGAGCCAGCCCAGGGATAGGCCGCGGCGACCACATGATTTACGGATGCATGTAGAGGATATTTTCCTTTTCAATTCCTTACTTTTAATGGAATTAATTTAGTAAAGCTGCGTTCTTATCCATATCTATTCATCACACATTGTGCATGCATACATATGGCTAGAGTCCATGCCTACGTGCCATCCAGGCCGGGTGAAATGGCATGGCATGCTAACGCTTTCCCTAGAAAAGTGGCAGCAACGTGCACTTGTCCATGGGTACGGTGCCATCTCATCCAAGAGAAGCTCCAGGTGTGGTATACATGAATGTACATGCTTATCAATTGCTTAGCTTGAATTAATGGGGCTAATCCTCTGCAGTCATCTTATGGGTGTGCCCCAATCGGAAGGAATTGACCCAAGTATCTATCATCACCAGTTCACCACACAAGCCACCGCAACCGCACTTTAGATATGGTATCAGGAAATATACCCGACATCACTCATATTCCTATTTCTGGCAAACTCGTCTCATCATCAGGGTGTAATTTTATGTTAGTAAAAACTATAAAAGTAGCATGTATATATTTGTCATCATAGGATAGAAGTTAATCTATATATGTCTCTAAACCCGGCGAGGAGGACCGATCCGTTGTGGATGAACCTGGATCGCCCAATTCAGGAGGATATGGTCATGCATGGCTCAGAGGGAGGGTTTGATGGCATTGGGCCCGGTATCAGGTCTCACGGCGCTGTTTGGATCTCCTGCCTTTGCTTTCCGGATTAACAGAGATGTGAGATTTTTTGATGTCCTGCACCTTGCTCAGTTGCATCGTATTGTATATTGCTACCACAACTAGCTAAAGGTGTAGTGTGGTAGACGTTGCATCTAGCCATAACTACGGCACAGCTGCACGTACTTGTGGCTTGGCTTCATTTTTTTTTTTTGCGACAGTGGCTTGGCTTCGTTGAGAAGCAAAGAAGACAAGCCAGAGTCGTGACTAGTTCCACCAATCTATTGGACTATGGTTCCACCGGTGCTTTAAGATTGTCCCACAATTAATAAAAATATAATAGGATATATATATTTTGTTAATACATCCAAAGTGTCATGACAATCCACACCGATGAGCACGCAAATTGAACCAGGCCAAAACTGTAACGTAAGGCACTTTAACCCTCGTCACATTATTATTGGCATGGGACTCCAGTTGGTAGATTATGGTGCTATGTAACGTAAGACACTTTAACCCTCGTCACGTTAACACTCTCCATCCATTGCTAAATGGAAATTATGGAGTTATGTTGATATATGACTCCATTGATAATAACGACGAGTTGTTTATGGTAAAATTGTTATACTAAATATAAACAATTGACAATCACATGTCCCTACTAGACGAAGCAATCAATGTATCTATCACCAGTTCACCACACAAGCTACCACAACCGCACTTTAGATATGGTAAACGTACCTGACATCACTCTTTTTCCTGTGTTGGCATTCGCTCGTTCATGTTACTATACAAACTAAAAGTAACATATATTTGTCACCATCGGATGTTAATAATTTGTCTCTGAGGCCTTGTTTGGAACATGGGAAAATTTTCCTGTTCCTGCGTTTTTCCTATGAAAATAAACTAATTCACGTGAAATTCCTGCGTTCCAAACAGGCCCTAAACCTAGCAAGGAGGCCCGATCTAGCATGGAGGAACCCAAATCTACTAGTACCAAAGGAGGAGGGCTCGGAGGGAAGGTGACGGCGCTCGGCTCCGCAGCATCGGGCCACATGGCGGGTTGGATCTCCATGATGGGCTTGATAGTGGGCTCGAGAGAGCAGGCTACAATAGGCTGGGTATCAGGCCCCGCAACAATGAAGAGCTGTTTTTTAATATATTTTTAATAGTCTTGCCTGCCTATGCTTTTGAGATTATTAGAGATGCCTGTTGTAACAGGCAGAGACGAATGTAGTCGCCTCAGTAGAACCTTTTTGACCATCTGTCGGTGTTTTGTCACCCGATGAGTGAATTTATACGTGTGTCGCGCTACTCTAGGAAGACGATGGTTGCATCCGAACACACAAGGAATTATACTAGTTCAGGTCAAAGCCCTAAGTCCAATCTTAGAGATAGTTAGAGTGCGTGTTCCTCGGTTGAATGCTCTGATGTTCTTACAATGGGGTATGCAAGAAGAGTGAGAGATGTAGGACAGTGGAGAGGGACTGCCCGAATAAAGTCTCGAGAGTCCGTCCCCTTGGAAGGTGCTCTGACTACCCTTATATAGAGTCCGGGGTCAGGCCACATACAAAGAGATAGGTTCTCCCGATCGAGCGGTCGTGAGCCTGAGGGAGGGAAAACTAGCTATTTTGGCGTTCAAGGAAGGTCGTCTTGTCTTGGTGTCAGCATACGTCAGAGCGTGGTCGTCGTCATGGTCTTGTGCCCACGTCGTGGCA